TAGCGCTAAACTCTTCGCAAATGATGCTTTCGGGCCACATGTCTTCTAGTTTGTTAAAGCGCCTCTTTGGGGAGGGCTTAAGATGGGAGAGCAGTCGAAGAAACTATTTGTTGCGCGCGTTTTTCCATTTTCGGTCTCTTTGGTGTTTACAGGTTCAACCCTTGAAGATTTAGAGAGTTCAAGGTTTTTCCATTCCTGAGGAGTCTTGCTTTTTGGCGAGGTTCCCCCTTTTCCATCCACAACCTAGCCAGAAGGCAACTTCCTGGCCCAGCAGAGGGGCGGACAAGGCTTTCACATTCCGAAGCGAAGACCGGTTTCGTGTTGAGCTTGGGGGGCTCATCACCTCGAGGTTGAAGACCGATTGCCATGCCAAGCATTGAAACACGAGGAAAAAGCTTAAAAAAAAGCTTTGATACAAAAATCTCAAGGCTTCCCCAGGGTCTTCAGAGGTGCTGGTGTCGGCCTGCACGCCGCCTGCTGCATTCTTCTGAAGCCATGCATCCTGCCAACCACGCTTTGAAATGGCTCAGCAGTTCCGGGCATCGGGCAGGCAGCCTTTGGAACGGATTGGAGCAGACGATTTCTGCAACAGTCTGGGAAGCTTATCCCCGTGCCTCCCGCTGCGTTCTTCGACCGGGCGCACCACGCCACCTCGACTGTGTTTCATGAACTGTTCAACACAAAGCTGGCGTACTATAACGCAGCGACATTGACACAAAACGGGCATCCATAGTACAATGACAAATGCAGCGTATGCTGCATCTGGTCGTTCTGCTTGTCCAATGACCGGCATAAGAATCCTACCCTGTAGAAGGAGATAGATTCTCGAAACAGGTCCATGCAACACAATCTTCACCTACGCCTGATTCAGGCCTGGAGACTTTTGCGAGAAGCAGTAGTAGTCGTCGTCGTCTTAGTCGTAGTCGTAGCCGCGGTGGTGGCGGTGGCGGTGGCGGTGGCGGTGGCGGTGGCGGTGGCGGTGGCGGTGGCGGTGGCGGTGGCGGTGGCGGTGGCGGCGGTGGTGGCGGCGGCGGCGGCGGTGGTGATGGTGGTGGTGGTGGTGGTGGAAGTAGTAGTAGTAGTAGTAGTAGTAGTAGTTGTAGTTGTAGTTGTAGTTGTAGTTGTAGTTGTTGTTGTTGTTGCTGNNGGCAAGCATCATTTTCCTTATGTTCTAGCTGGAATTTGTGCGATCAACCTTGTTGTTGTTCTTCTTCTTCTTCTTGTTGTTGTTGTTGTTGTTGTTATCGTTGTTGCTGTTGCTGTTGTTGCTGTTGTTGCTGTTGTTGCTCCTGCTGCTGCTGTAGTTGTACTTGTAGCTGTAATTGTAACAGTAGTCGTCGTCATGGTGGTGGTTTCGCCAGAGACAGCAGCAGCAGCAGCAGCAGGAGTAGCAGTGACGGTAGTGACAGGAGCAGCAAGAACATCAACTATCCCGAAACAATGAAGGTTGTGGCAAGATCATGTTGGATATTATAGTACATTATAGCATGTTACAGCAATTTTTCTACTGTATTATAGTACATTCTGCTACCGTACATGGTTATATAAGGCTATATGGAACAGTAAATATCATTGTGATATTTGTTGTTACTGCACTCACGAAGGCAAGGAGCCAGGTCCGAACCGCGAGCTCCAAGCCAGCGGCCTAAAGGCACTGGAGGCCGAAGCTGGCTTTAGCTCTTGGGACTTAGGGTTTGGGGGGTCGCCTGTAGGCCTTGTCAAGCAAATGTGCTATGAATGCATCTGCTAAAGATTTCTTGCAATGGGCTGAGTCCACACCCTCAACGCGCCCCGAAGAAATCACTGGGAAGCACGGCACCCAGCCATCTGCCTCGCAGTGCGCAGACAGCACTGGGTCGGTGGAACGCTCCTCCTCCTCCATACGAGACCTGAGGCTACTACTTACTGTATGATCCTACACCCTAAACCCTAAACCCATCATAGCAAAACTAAGGAAGTTGAGGGAGCCTTGGAGCGACTTTTTACTTTGGCAGGAGCCGAAAGCGGGCCTGGCCAACACCAGGTCAACAGCCGAGAAGGCCAGTCTGGAAGCAGATTCATGCGGTTCAGGATTTAGGCTTCAGCGTGTGGTAATTAGGGTTTGGATTCATGGAAGATACCTCGGTTGAACCCCTAAATGTTTGAAAAGGGACTATGTGCCTCAGCTTCAAGACGTGCCGTCCCTATTGCACAGACACTGGCCTTGCAGCACTGTCCTGTACAGGAACATCTTGCAAGGGTCTACCTGACAGGGAGAAGCTGTTCAATGCCACAGGCCTCGCTGCTCAAAACCAGAGAAAAGGCTGCTACAAAGGGCCGGCGAACATCATCCACGACAAACTTCGGCCCGGGCGCTTGCGACTTCTGCTGCGTTTGCTGACTACTGACCGGCAACTCCCCGTCTCCTGTTCCCTTGCGTCCCGTCCTGACGCATCGAGGTCCGTTGCCCTCTGAATTCTAAACTTGGAAACAAAGGCAGATCTGCATGAGGGAGGGCAAGGCACACTCGGGTGCAGACGAACAAGTGCCACAGAAGACCACCAGCTCTCCCAAGCAGCTGCCCTCTTCAAAAATGTCAGTGGCATGCATGCCATGCCGGGTCCACATCGGGACTTGTTGGCATCCGTGCCCCTTCACGGGGCTCAAAAGCAGCGAGCTAAACCTTTCTGATGCAAGGATGCCCCTTTCTGGCATATTATGCCGTCCAGCTATTCCAAGTGCAACCACAGTCGCATGGAAAAGCTGACACTCAGCCAGTAACTTTCTTCCAGTCACGGTGCATGTGCACGTCGGCCTCATGCTGGCGCGGCTAGCTGAACCCGACGCCAGGAGAGGATCAGGAGAAGATCTGAAGCATGCACTTCTGCACGACCGTAACTGCCCGAGACTGACAAGGACCAACAGACACGCGAAATTCTCATGTCAAATCCTTTGCGACTTGCTGTTGATTTGCCATAATTCCGCAGCTGCTGCTTCGGCTGTCTTGTCGCTGCTAGCGTGCTTCGGTTATTTGGTACATCTTCAACAAGCACTCTAGAAAGCGCGACAACCCGAGACAGGGGAGGTCCTCGTTGTCGTCGTCATCCTCGCCACCGTCCTCGCTGCCGTCCTCGTCATCATCCTCGTCATCATCCTCGTCATCACCCTCGTCTTTATCGTCCTCGTCATCGCCAGGGTCCTCGTCGTCATCCTGGACGGCAACACGCACACTGGCCGCTGCAACATAAGCGAAAACCGAAGGCCCCAAGCATCAAGTCAGGCAGTCAGGCAACGGGTTCAAGCGCCCAACAACCGGCATCACCAGCACTTACACTCCACAGGAGCTTGGAAAGCATTGCCTAAGCAGCGAAGCTCAGACTTCCCTTGTCCTCCTCGCGTGTCAGCGCCTCGCGTGTCAGCACCTGCGACCATGCGACATCACTTCGCATTAAGGTCCATGCGAATCTAAAGGTTTCGTGGTCTTGAGGTCGGATGGGTCGCTTGACTCATTGATGGATTCCCGTCGCTTAGGGTCCCAGGAGTCCTAGGCACTAGAGCCATCACAATCGAGATCGGATCCTGCAAGCAAAGCAGGTGGGAACTTGGACATTCCTGACTGTGCAAAGGCGCATTGTCTGCAGACTGCCATGCAGTTTGGCTCCGAGATGGTATACGACAGCACCGAAGTCCAAGAGAATTCAAGCCTTCTACGCTAAACGTCAAAGACACTTCCAAGTTCTTGGGGCTCGTGTTTTGGATATTGGGAGTTGGCCTTCACCCCCAGCCGCCAATCCTACATCCAAAGGCTTATTCACCGAAGACTCTGTGTGTTTTCCCACTCAGTGTAATGTAATAATAGTCGTAATATAGTTAACAATAATTCTTAATAATTATGAATATTTAATAATACTTAATAATAATAACAACAATAACAATGAATATTTATATTAATAATGATAAGAATAATAACAATAACAATAATAATAATAATCATAATAATACTGCCGCCGGCCTTACATGTCCAGTTCGAGGCGTACTCGGGCGGATCATTGGGGTCCACGCCTTTGGCTTCGGACTGTCGCAGTCGTTCAGCGTCCGCTTCGAAAGTCTAGTCTTTGTTGGCTGCTCACATTCAACACCGCCCCAGCCTCCGTCCCGAAGTTACGTCTCAGCACTACCCTAAACTCTCAACCCTAAACCCTAAACCCCTTAACCCTAAACCCTGAACCCTAAACCGCCCCTTGTCTGTTCGGGTGGCCTGGGGTGCAGCTCGCCTTGCAAGATGCCCAAAACTCGTTCTTCTCGTAGCACCTCGGAGGGCTTAGCTCGGATTCCTGAAGGCTTCACTTCGTGTTTCTGAAGATGGGGGGCAATATATGCCTTGTCCCAGGTGCTTTTTGACAAGATCCTATGATATGGGGCGGGGTCCTTGGTTCGAAACTCCCGAGTCATGAGACTGGCTCAGGGTTTGGGGCCAGGGTCTAGGCTCTGGGGAATCTTCTTAAGGCAGAGGTCAGTGAAAGTCAAAGCGCCTCCGGCAAGTAACGGATGCTGTGCGCACTAACAGCCCTCGCACGATGGCCCTGAAACATCTGAGCCATGTTGCTTGCTACCGATGTCCTCACAGCACCTCTTCTCAGCGCAGCTTTCCTGGTACGCGGGCCGGGATGGGGAGTGCTTTTGCAGAAGTCTATGCTTTGCAGCGTGCACTGCAAGCGCTCTGACTCCGAGTCTCCGTAGATGTTGCGCACTGGCCGGGTGGAGGCGTGGTCAACCTGAGCGCACATGAAGTCGGCCTCTAGCCACGATTAAGTTTGATTGAAAGCTTTTAAAGAATACAGATGCCGGTGTCAGCTCCAATGACCTTAAAAGATGGTAATCAAATCTTGAGATTGCAGAAGGAGCTTCTAAGGGTTGTCGTCCTCCTACATGCTCTGAATAATTGTGGAGTACTCAGAACGATCCGGATGATCGCAGTAAGGTTCAAGTTAGGACGTAAATTAGAACCATCCATGTTATCAACATTGCATATCAACAACAGGAAGGGGTGCAGACAACCACAATGCCAATAAGCGCCTTTTCAACAAATCCGAATACTGGAGTACCGCATGTCTGTCCACCGGCTTTGTTGCTCAGCAAACCAGAAAAAGGATTGATGATGTGACTGGCATCTAAAGCTGCTGGTACTACAGCAGGATTTAAGGGCTTTATGGCTGTACGTGGCAACTGGTCAATACCCCTGTGCATTCCGAGCACCCCTAATCCTCTGCTCCCACCCAACACCATCATCCTGCCTCGGGCAGGGAGTTGGAAGAGTGGTCGGCATGGTCTCCCCTCGCAATGAAGCCCTGGAAGCTTTGATGCTGGGCTGCTGGGGACGGAGGGCCCGGGGCGGTGCAACTTACTGCTCGTCGTGTCTGGGGCCTACTCAAAGCCTGCCTCACGAAGTGGCCCGACTCTGTGAGCTCACAATCCTCTCAAGCAATCAAGGAGCGCAGCAGCAACAGAACCCGTCCCGCCATATCCCATGCATCGACGATTTCACGCTTTGGTATCGACGTACCTCAGACAGTATTTTGCATGTGTGTCTGGGTGTTTGCCTGTGAGCGCGCTCTTCTTATGACATTAAATAGCTGCATACCTGAAATGTGTCTATGTGCACCTTTTTTGCATTAACGTCTACTTTGCAAGGCCTGAGCAGACGTCAAGAGTGCATGCGATCTGCCAGCAGAAACTTCACGACAAACTCAGCGGGAAGAGTTCCACAATGTTCCACACGTATCTCAGCCCGATCCAGAGCCCAAGTCCTCCCAATGACCCTCTCCGTCAGCACCTTCACAGGCAAGAAGCTCGCAGCGACCCTAAGGCTCACAAACCCCTGGCCTGGGAGGAGTGCGGAGCAGGCCTCCTGAAAGCACATATAAATCAACGCCACTTCTGCCACAAGCGTCAGTCAGGGAGTCGTGCGAGGCGGGTTTTGGCTTCGGAGTCCTGCTTGTCGCTCACGGCCCAATTTGCATCCGAGATGTTGTGAGCAGCGAAGAAGTCGAGCCAAGTCGTCGTCTGGCAGGGGTGGATAGTACTTTTACCAGGGCAGCTGCCATCTAAAAGACTCCGACAGCCGACTGGGCAGCACCTCTTCGAGGTTCAGTGTGCCGTCTCCGCTGGCGTCGCAGGTTCCCCACCTCAGCGGTTCTTCCCTCGGAACTCTCTGCCAAGGTGCTTGACATCTCTGCTGAAATCGCACTGGGGCTCTGTCGGAGGGTTTCGATGGGTTTTGGGGTTTAAGGCGCATCTCACTGCTAATGTGGCATGGCCCGACGAGGTCGGAACCGTATCCACGACCTACGCATGCTGGGATGTACTGGAACTTCACTGCAAATTCAGCCCAAAACGTTATCGGCCATGCATAGTCCGTCCTCAAACTGTGTAAGCGCAGGCACCCTAGAAAGGGGACACCCGAAGCAAGCTTAAGTCCCAGTCTTGTCGAGACGAGGAATACTACACACAGCCAGGACACTCAGTCGCAAAGATGGCGATGCCTGCCTGCCCCGCCAGGCAACTGAAAAGAAGAGAATCCAAATTATTTCCCCCATGTGGAATCTAGTCAGATGTCTCCGAGACTGAGCCTCAGCCTGGGCTTTGTAAGACACGGCAAGAGCACTCACAGACTAACATAAGCTCCAGCGATGCAGTAGAGACCACGCTCAGAGCTGTCTACAGCCCTCAACATGCGGAGTGTGCTGAATCTTCATCTGTTCCATCGATCTGCTTTAAGAAATACGGCCTCCAGGGCCTTGACCACCTTCTCACGCAGCTCCTGCTCAGAGGGGAGCTCTTAGGGACAGGAAGGAAAACAGCGCACGAGCCCGTCGGCCAAAACACCTTCAGGCTGCTATTTCACACTGCTCTCTTCTTCAGCACAGCCAGACAGCGTCTCTCTCTCTCTCTCTCTCGCGCTGTCCCTTCCCTGTTGCGAGATACTTCCTCACACCTGGTGCAGCGGACTGGGTTTTGGTCGGTGGACTATAACGGCTTGCTGGTGGTCTGTTGTTTAGCTCATCCACAAGTTCCAGAAGTCTGAGCACTTCGTCGCGCTTCCGATTGCATCCCTCTTCGTCGTTTCGCACATCTCGGTGCAGCATCCCTCCTCAAAAATCAACTCTCCTGTCCTGCATGGCAACTTCAAGCCTTCAAGACATCAGCCCACTGCCTGCTTGTGTGTGTTGGCATAGAAATGGATAGTGTAGGCCAGGTTCACGCCCGCTACAGGGTCTTCGGCAGCACCATCCACATCCTGCGGCCGCATGACGAGAACGGGCTTCTCGGTGTCGGGACATGGACGGCTGGTTTCTTGAGGGCTTGCGACTGTTTCCTGACTTGAAATCCTGAAAGCGTCCTGAGACCAAACTCGAGTGCCCATGATGATGAGGTTGTTCGAGTTTTGCCGGATCACCTCGGTAGTGTAACTAGGCAGCAGAGTTTGACGGATGGGCAACGCTGACCGTGTCGGCCTCCACCACCTCTTCATGGTACGGCTTGATTGTCTCGGTCCAGTTTTGTAAGATCGGCTCGTTGAAAATCTCGAACATGACGTTTGGATATTGGCCGTACCTTGCAGACCCGATCAGACAAGGGGTGCTGCCAGGTCAGTTGCCCAACCCATTTAAGCTCTGGCCCAATCCTCCGATGGAAGATGTGACAAACCCATTTTTCTGACCAAGCCACAGGAAAGGAGATACAGGAGCTTGAACCTGCACCTACTGACAACATAAGTACCGACTCTCCAGAATGCGAGAAAGAGGCTTTAGCGACATCTGCGTGAAGAACCCCTTGGCCGCCTGAGACAGCTCACTTTGCTGCGGCCAATCTTGCTCGCGGATTACAGGACACACTCCCTACGGTTCACCCCCGGCCACTACACTCTCACCGAAAACAAGCGGAAGAGCCTCCACATGGTCATTGGCATTGTGGTCGTGCCAGTCCTCATCACCAGTAAGCTGCGTGTTCCAGCTTGCAAAACTGCCAAAACAAATTCGGCTGCCGACTGGGATTGCTCAGCTTGTTTTGTGTGTGGGGGTGTCGGGAGTGCTCCGCTGGCACGTGACATCGATGCCGTGGGAAGAGGGTCTTCTACTCCACCAAGCATCAATGATGACATAGATATCAGCAGCGATAGCTGCATCAACCACAGCCTCGGGCACACAGTGTACGAGCAGCGGTGCTACACCAGGTGCCACGACAAGAAAGGCATGAGATTTGGCGACTGTCGGGAAAACTTGCACCAAACAGCACCTCAGCACTCGAACTCATCCCGCACCCGCTTTGGTATCCCCGATTCCTCCCGGGTGCACCTCCAACTTGGCCACCTCGGTCTCCGGGTCGGTCAGGTAGCCGCCAGCCTTCCGAGTTCAAGGGTTCCGGGCTCAAGGCCCGGGAGGCAAATCTGATGGGCGATACGACTAGATACAAATCTACTTTTTTTTCATTCAATGCGCAGCATCCGGTTAGTGGGACGCTTTGCGACCGCATCTCGAGACTCGAGAACAGAATGAAATCTGGCGTGAAGCTGTACGTTGTACATTCTCTTCGATGTGGGGTATCCCGCCGCGTGCGGCAAAGCAGATACCAGCTTGCAAACAATTGATGCCTTCGTCACGAATGACCAAGCAAGGCATTGTCAGTGATCATTAACATGTCTAAACAGAAAATTAAAGACTACAACATCAGGATTTGGAGAATATTGTACAGGGCACTCAAGAAAGATAATCACTGAAGCGATGATCCGCTTCCCTGGCAATGCATTCAGGCCTCCCTGCAAAGTCCAAGCAAGTAACAGTTTGAAAAGGCATGTTGCAAATCCGCTGCAGTGCATGGCCGAATCGCCCT